CCCGGCACTTGAAAGGGTAATTACTCGATTCCTCTTTATCTGTTTGGATTTCACGCGCCAGACCCATCGAGCCGGTGATAGAGGACGGCCTTCTCCATCACGCCTGGCTATTTTAGGGAACTTCCATCGCCGTCCCCTTTTATTTCTCTCTTTAGATCATTAGCTGTCAGGCAGATGTGTCCGCCTTCTGGTCACTCCTGCTAATTAGAGTCTAACAGAGGAAAGGGACGCGACCCCACAGAAAGCAAGAGACACTGAGAAGCCAGGGAAGTGCGTCAGGAGATGAGGGCCTCAGAGGCACAGCCACTTCAGAGCCCACTGTCCCCTCTGGTGCCTCTCTTCTGAATCTCTGCCGCCCCACGGTGGCCCACATCAGAAATGCAGCCAGGGCGGGCTGCTCCATTAACAGCCCAGACAGCCCCAGCCACCATTTCCTGAGGGTTCTCTGCATGCCCAGCGCTGGGCTGAGCACTTTTATATCTGTTGTTAATCTGCATGGCAACCTTAGGTAGAGTTATTCTGAATGTTCAGACAAGAAGAGCTGAAGCCCAGAGAGGGTAAGTCACTTGCTCAAGGTCACACAGCTACGGAGCGGCAGAGTCAGGGAAAGGACGTGCCCATTGCTGTCATTTCTTAGGATTCTGGTACTGCTACAGCCTCCCCTGAAGACATCAGTCACAACAAGTGACAGAGGCTGGCTCTGTATGGCAGATTGACTCATGTGTACAAAGTGAAGATGCTGAGTTAGTTAACCACCACAACCAATTAGAAAATCACAACGAGGCACTCAAGAAGGAAGCCACCATAATGTCAGGGAACAATTCAATTTGAGGCAGAGCAAAGTCAGGTGCAAATGCCTAGCTCCAGCTGTGCTGACGGGGACATGTCCCTCCACGTAACGGAGGTTTGGTTTCCTCATCCGTAAAATGGAGACTAATGGTATCTACCTCTTAAGGTTGCTATTTTGCCATTGGGAAATGTGAAATTTCCCAAACTGTTCTTTGGAAGGTTTGTTTTCCATGAAGTAATTGTGTAAAAGACAAAGTTAAATGAAGTTACACAGAGAACGTTCTCAAAGTCTTGATGATGCTAATGTGTGGATAAATTTTCAGGAACGGACAGACTTTCCTGACCCCAGTATCTTTTTCCCTTTGGAAACTAATAAGCTTCTGTTTGAGGGGGACGCTTCAGAAAAGGCTGTAAAACAGGTCAGAGGGTATTCAGAGTTTGAAATGGGGACTAGTAAATGCTAATCCTTTTTTTTCTTTATGCCCAGATTGTTCAAATGACCTGTTTTTGCTGGCTTTTTGCTCCAGGGAGTTCAGGGTCTTGCTAATTCCTTTCTGAATTCCATTTTCTTTACATAGCAAACACTTAATGAATGAGTAAATGTGGGAATAGATGAATGCTGCTTAGTGTAGCTCCTGCCTGTTCACCTTCTTCTACCGCTTTCTCTGCTGTACTCCGTGGGGCTCAGGGGAGAATACAAATGCTCCTGGGAAACTCAGCAATGGGGCTGGTTCTCACTGATTTCCCTTCTCAATTTTCACCTGTGTGAACAACCGGATCTTCTGACAGAACTCAGTGCTGCAGCCCCTAACTAGTCAGGTTTGCTGCTTCTCTCGGAAACCGTGGGATGTTTCATTTGGGTACATGTTTTGAGCAAGACATTTCTGAGCTGTCCCAGTAGGTCTGCGCCTGGATCTGAAAAACTCTTGGGCTATCCCAGGGGATAAAAGAAAAGCAGCTCATTGGAGCCTAAAGATAATGCAGAGAACACAGTTTCCCATGTGTATCTATCAGTATACTGTGATGGGGTGGACCAGTGGTCAGTGGTGACGGGGTGGTGTGCTTTATATTCATTTAGAGCAGGATTTCCTACTGGTGTTCTCTGGGTATTATGCAAAAAACACAAATTTGTTTCTGCTAAAAAGCATGAGCTGAAAATTCATAATAGCTAAGTTATGGAACTAATCTAGGTGCCCTTCAATAGATGAATGGATTAAAAAAGGTGGTCTATATATGCAATGGAATATTACTCAGCCATAAAAAAAGAATGAAGGTATAGCATTGGCTGGCAAAAGGATGGAACTGAAGACTATCCTGCTAAGTGAAATAAGCCAATCCCCCCAAAACAAAGGCCAAATATTCTCTCTGATATGTGGATACTAATCCATAATAAGGTGGGGGGGGGGGGTAGCAGCTCATTGGATTATAGAAAGGGGAACAAAGGGAAGGGAGGGGGATGGGAACAGGAAAGACAGGGGGATGGGAACAGGAAAGACAGTGGAATGAATGGGACAGAACTTTCCCATGTTCATATATGAACACACAACCAGGGAAACTCCACATCATGTCCAACCACAAGAATGGGATCCTAATTAGAATAAGTTAGTCTCCATGTTATTTATAGTATGTCAAAATGCACTACTGTCACGCAGGTCTAAAAAGGACAAATAACATTTTTTTAAAAACAGAGCCGAGTTGGTCAGAATCTAACAGGCTTCCTTCTGGCGGAACTTCTCAGAGACGGTGCATTTCAGCACGGCATGTCCCCAATATCTCTGACCGTTCCTCTGGGGCCACTCTGGAAGCCTGTCCTCTGGAACAGCTGCCCAGTGCTGCTGCTCAGCAGAGCACCCTTGGACACCTCCTGCCTCAGGACACACAGCCAGATGTCTCAGCCCTGTCTTCACAGTCTAGGGATTGTGGGAAAGAGAAGAGGAGGCTGTGGTGACTGCTGATCAAGCAGGGATTCAAATGTACAGCCCCGAGCCGGATGGATTTTCTAATGTGTTTCATAAGAAGATATAGCTGGATGAGGTGGTGCACTTTTGTCATCCCAGAAACTTGGGAGGCTGAGGCAGGAGGATCTCAAGTTCGAGGCCAGCCATGGCAAATTAACAAAACCCAGTCTCAAAATTTAAAAAAAAAAAAAAAAAAGTAAAGATAAAAAGAAGTTGCGCATGGTGGCACAGGCTGTGATCCCAGCCTCTTGGGAGGCTGAGACAGGAGGACAGCAAGTTCAAAGCTAGCCTCAGCAACTTGGTGAAGCCCGGAACAACTTAACAAGACCCTGCCTCAGAATTTAAAAATTTTGAAACAAAAGGGCTGGGGATGTGGCTCCGTGGTTAAACACCCCTGGATTCAATCCCCAGTACCAAATAAATAAATAAAATTAAAAGGGCTGGGGGTGTAGCTCAGTGGTAAAACACTTCTGGGTCCAATCCCTAGTATGGTAGGGGGAGGGGAAGAAGGAAAAGAAAGAAGGAAAAAAAAAAAAAGAAGTAATCATGAGGCTTCAGAAGCATGGCCATAAGTTTCCTAGCAATATTGTTTGCATCATATTAGAGGTAACTATTTTCCATACCATTAGATAGCACAGGTAAGAAGCAGGAAGCTTCAAACTGATGAATAAAAAATGGCTTTTAGAGCAAAGGGCCTTGGGAAACTCATCTATTCAGCAACTTTTTATTGCGAGTTGATATGCGCTCCAAAGAGGAATCCGGCTCATCCTATTTGAATACCACCACCGTTTCTGATTAAAATTTCCTGTGAATGAAATAAATCATGTCTTACCAGAAAAAGCAGACTCAATTACAGTTTGCAGGAGATTGGTAGGCTTGCTTGGAAATAGAAAAAAATTCAATGCCTAGGCCAGGAATCCGCAAGCATGGTCTGCCACCTGTTGCAAATAAAATTTTATCTGGAGCCTAGCGGCGCTCATCCATTTACATGTTGTCTCTGGCTGTTTTCACACTGTAATGCAGGAGTGGATTCATTGCGGCACAGAGCTTCTGGTACTCAAAGGATAAAGCCTTAATTATATGGCCCTTTACATAAATGTTTATCAACCCCTTTCATAGGTTTTATAGGAAGGAACGAAGATTCCAGAAGTCAATCTTTTGTTCTGTGGATGGAAAAACCAAAATCAGAGACATCAAGGAATTGCCCTGGTTTATTTAGACAAGGGGGGGAGGGGATCTTGATATCCCCAGAGCTGTTATCAACAAAGGAAGGCAGAGATGGATTTTGTCTTAGATACCAACATGGCAGCCACCGGCAGGTGGGGTTGAGAAGGTCTCAGGGCTCAACAAGAAGGAATGTAAGGATTCGTTGGTTTTCTATAGTCCAGGGATGGAGTGTGTTAGGACTCACCCTGGATCCAAAGACTAACTTCCCCATCCCCCGAGAAGAGCCGTCCAATGGTGGCTCACATGATCCTTTCCCACCAATCAGACTAGCTCTGCTGGCTCACATGATCCTTACCCACCAATCAGACTAGCCCTGCTGGCTCACATGATCCTTACCCACCAATCAGACTAGCCCTGCTGGCTCACAGGATCCTTACCCACCAATCAGAAAGCACCCCATGCCAACTGTCAAACCTTTCAACCTTTAAACTGTCATAACTGTCAAACCACCCCTGCTCTATAAATATGCAGAGCTGTTCCTCAACAAACGGGCATTTTCTCCTTCCACGAGACTTGTTCATCCTTTCATTAGACAACCAAAGCAGACGGCCCCTTTTTTGGGCCCCTGGATACCTCCATTCTAAGGGGTCTCTACAAAGTAAGTGGTGACCGGGAACCAGATATGCATGTGGGTATCCTGGTGTCTTCTTCCTACATCTCTAATAGTCACCTGGCCATCCCCCTCCTTGCATGTCCACTGTATGAGCACTTCCTCACCTGGACCAAACCAGGGGTGTTTCATGGCCTCCCCATTAGAAACACTTATGGGGACCAATTCAGAAGTGATTGATGATGATTCCCACACAAGGTCATTCAAGTGTCTCTTAGCAACTTTTTAACCCACCGTGCTCCGCCCAAAAGAACTTAACTTGGGATTTCACTCAAACCGGGCTTGTTGGTGACAAGAGGCTTCTTCTAGTGTACTATGTCCACGGATCCCAAAGGGGGCATGCAAAACGAAACATGGTGAGTCGATTGGCTTTTGTGACCCATGCTGAAGGTCTGTATATTTGTGCTTTTGTGCAGCTGGACAATCCGGATGAACAGGCGGCCCAGATCCGAAGAGAGTTGGATGGACGTCTCCAGATGGCAGACCAAATAGCCAGGGTAAGGAAACCTGGGGGACGTTTGCTGAGTACCAGGCCAAATGTCCAACCCAGGAAACACACTGATTATTAATAGCTTTTGAAAGATAACGGTGAGCTGGGCATGGGGGTGCACACCTGTAATCTCAGCAACTCAGGAGGCTGAGGCAGGAGGATTGCAAGTTTGAGAGCAGCCTGGGCAACTGAGTGAGATCCTGTCTCAAATAAAAAAAATGAAGAGGGCTAAAGATGCAGCTCAGTGGTTGAGAGCCCTGGGGTCCCTTCCCTAGCTCTGATTGGGCCTTTAGCCAACCCATATCCTCCCAGAAGTACCACATGCTCCAGTGAACTACCGAAACTCAGATTCCACCTTTCTCCTGAGTCCTAGGCTCACATTTTCCCACCATCTACTTAACATTTGCACTTAGACATTCCCCTGGCGTTTCAAGTCAGATGTGTTGGAAACCGGGCTCCTACCTTCTTCCTCCCACCCCATACATACACCTCCACTTCCTGCTCTCCATTGATTCTCTACCCAGTTAGTTTGGATGAAGGTTCCCAGTCACTATCAACCTCCTCTTCCTCCTGCCCACACCCCCACTAGCAGCCACCCAGCGTCCTGACTCAGCCTCCTGAATGTGGGTTGGAGACCTCCTGTCTCCCTGCTCCACGGCTGCTCTGATCCAGCCCAAGTCTGCAGCACTTGGAAGCTATTGTAGAATCCCAGTAGGTCCCTGGCTCTGGCCCTCCCCAGACTTTCCATCCTGCTTGCTGTTGCCATCGTAAAACCCACATGTGAGGCCCTCACCACAGAGCTTCGGAGCCCTCACTAGATCTCACATGGATCCCAGGACCCAATCTAACCAACCTCTTTAGCGTGGTATTCAAGGCTCTTAGTCAACAGACTACAGCTTCCCTTCTTGGCCTCATTTCCTACAGCTCTCACCAGGCCTCTCTGATCCAGCTGCAGAAGGTGTCTCCTTCTAGCCTGGCTTGGTGGTGCACACCAGGAATCCCAGCAGCTTGGGAGGCTGAGGCAGGAGGATCCTGAGTTCAAAGCCAGCCTCAGCAACTTAGGGAGGAGCTAAGCAATTCAGTGAGATGCTGTCTATAAATGAAATACAAACATAGGGCTGGGGATGTGGCTAAGCGGTCAAGTGCCCCTGAGTTCAATCCCAGTACCAAAAAAAAAAAAAAGAAAGAAAAGAAAGAAAGAAAGTAGCTTCCTCTAAACCTACCAGTTTCTTTGTACCCACTGATGCCTGAGCCTGGATGGACCTTTCTTCTCCCTTCCACTTAGCAAACTCCTGACTCAGTCTATCTCTCCATGAGCACATCTTCTCTGACCACTGAGTGCCTAGCATACCGCACATAGACCTTTATGACACCAGGTCATTGAATGGTGAGCCTCTGTTTGCCTGTCTAATCTCGAAACGGATTGGCCACCCCAGGGTTGAGATCTTCCTTGTCATTAATGAGTGTAGCTAAGTGTTACCTACTACTATTGCTGCAGCTGCCAATCATGTTATTATTACTAGCTGCAAGGCCTATAGTCTTCCTTGGGCCCTGATTCTGGGCTAAGCATGCTCAATGCTTATCATGAACCATCTCAGTCAATTCTGAAAGCAGAACTCTGAGGTTGTTTCTGTCATCATTCTTGTTTTAGAGATGGAGAAATCTCCATGAAGCATGACAGGCACTAATTAAGATGCTGTACTGGACCCTCACTGAAGATTTGTCTAATCAGGGTTGGTGCAAGGCTGAGCACCTCAAGTACAGACATAGTGGGAGTCGGGCACCGTGGTGCACACCTGTAATCCCAGCAGTTCGGGAGGCTGAGGTGGGAGGATCACGAGTTCAAAGCCAGCCTCAGCAACTTAGCAAGGCCCTAAGCAACTCAGTGAGACCCTGTCTCTAAATAAAATATCAAAAGGGCTGGGGATGGGGCTCAGTAGTTTAGTGCCCCTGGGTTCAATCCCATCCCCAGTATAACAACAACAAAAAGAGAAGAATGTGACAGGGTCTCAGAAACTCATTAATCAAAATAAATAATATTTTGATGAGTGTTTTAAAAGTCATAATTAATGTCAAAAATCCATTAAGAATAAAATATCAAAAAATTAAATAGCTACCAGTTCTGGCTGGCTCCTACTGAAGCAACAGGTCCTGTGAACATGTAACGGTGGGGACCTGTCAGAAAAGATGGAGAGATCAAAGAGACAGTGGAATGAATGGGAGAGAACTTTCCTCTGCTCATATGTGAACACACGACCAGTGAAACTCCACATCATGTCCAACCACAAGACTGGGATCATAATTAGAATAAGTCAGACTCCATGGATATATAATATGTCCAAATACACTCCACTATCATGTATAACTAAAAATAAATAACAGGATATACACAGAATAGCACCTAGCACTGGCCCTTACTCTCCGTGGAGAGAAGTATCCCAGGACTTGGACACAGAGAAAAGAATTTTACCAGATCAGAAACCAAAGAGAGATTCCGGGAGGCAGGAGAAGCCCTCTGTTTTTTGCTCAAGCAGTTTCACTGAAGCATTTTGTGTTTTGTTTTTGGACACCTTTACAGTTTATAGTCAAGTCAGTCTGGTGGCTAAAAACAGGATGCAGTTATAGATTTGGCTAAAGGTAGTGTAGAAGGCACTTATATTTTAAAACCCTGCTTAATGTGGGAGTAAACATCCAAAGGCTTTAGAATTGACTCCTCCTGTAAACTCAGTGTCTCGCTATTTTAGTCAGCTTTTCTGCCACTGTGACTTAAAGATCTGACCAGAACAACTGTAGAGGAGAAAAAGTTTATCTGGGGGCTCATGGTTTCAGAGGTCTCAGTCCACAGACAGCAGGCTCCATTCCTCAGGGCTCGAGGGGAGGCAGGACATCATGGAGGAAGAGTGTGGTGGAGGGAAGCAGCTCACATGGTGATCAGGAAGCAGAGAGAGACTCCACTCTCCAGAGACAAATAGAGACCCCAAAGCCACACCCCCCAATGCCCCCTCCTCCAGCCACACCCACCTGCCTCCAGCCACCACCCAGTTAATCCCATCAGGGGTCCATTCACTCAGTGGGTTAAGGCTCTCACAACCCAGTCATGTCTCCTCTGAACTTTCTTGCACTGTCTCACATGTGAGATTTTGGGGGACACCTCACATCCAAACCAGAATACTCCCATTAGAGGGTTGGCTAAAAAATGGAGGCCATTAGATCCATTCCCCTGCCTTTTAGGCAACTATTACACCTTACACCCCAACTAATAAGATTCATCCTATCTACATAAAATTATACACTTCAAAAACAAGCTCATGACACCTCTAATTTTTTTCTTTGAGACTTGACATGATTGACATGATAATTTAAAAAGCTGACATTAGGCTAATTTTAATTTGTCAAAGAGCATTGATGAATAATTGGTATATAGTGAGCCATGATGCTCATCCCTAAACTAATCAAAGAACTTTCTCCCCTAGCCCACACCCTTAGTATTTTGATGTGTAGACATTATTAACAACTTAGAACTAAGCTTTCTTTGATGAAATGTGCAATTCAAATGAATCTTGGTTAGCATGTGCAGGAAATGGAGAACAATTTCAGAATACATGGAGAGACCCACCCAGACATTTACAGTATCTCAGATTTCCATTAGGTAGTCTTCCCACTGCTATCTCCTTTTCTCCTAGAGATTCGCTTCCTTCTTCTGTAATATTTTTTCATGCCAATGATCTCTTCTCCCTGGTTCTTTGTTCTTGGAGTGAGGTGAGCTCTTCACAAATGGGGAACATATCACAGTTCCCAACCTTCCCTGGCCATTGGTGGTTGGTTAAAAAATGGGTGTTTGGTGCAATGAATCCCCTCTGGGCCTGTGGACTGCAGGCCAACCAGACTGTGTCTTCCAGGGATTGAAAGGAGTCTGCAGTCATATTTGATTCTTACATATAGGGGAGAAAAGTTGGAAGGATAAAGCCAATGCAGAGAGAGAAACAGAGAATTCACAGAGATGCTAAGGAGTCTCAGGATGTTCACATACCTGTGTCCAGTTATTTTTGTGTTGTGGTTGTCTTAGCTATAAAAACTCAAGTTAGAAAAGTCAATTCTCCCTTTGCCTAAACCAACCAGGCTCACACTGGGGAAAACTGAAAAATATCTCCTCTACCAAAATTTAAATAAAATATCAAGATCTCATATATAGACTAGTTCATGAAGAGATATTTAAACAAAGCACCTTACTTCTCTCCTTTTAGCAAGTCCTGATTTTCTATTTCCAGCCCCACAGTGAATTTTAGTGGAAGATGTGCAATTCAATCCATATGGCTGAATGTTGGCTCCTGTACAAGTGATAACCAGAAATTCCTACCTTTGGGTGTTACCCCCCCCAACATCATGGATAATTCACTCTGTTTCCTTATGTAAAAGATGGGTTGAGCACTGTGGATTGCAAGTGGAGAACACCAACTTGAGGAAACTAATGGAAACAGGGAATGATGTTAAGAATCAAGAAACCCATGGTCAAAGTACAGCCAGACTCCAGGAAAGAACTGGAATCAGGGGCCACAAAGGGGTCAGGATTTTCTGTCCACTTCTGTCTCTGTGTTTCACACTGATGATCCTTTCTCTGTAAAACCAGCTTTCCTAGTGTCTCAGTTGCAGGGTGGAGGGTGTGGGGCTGTCCCATAGCTCTTCTTGTTTCTGGTATGTACAAATAGGGTATCAATCAACCATTCAGCCTCCCTCCCAAATCCTCCTCCTTAATTCCCTTTCCTCTTCCTCACTACCCCCTTGAAATTCACAATTCCGGGAATCAACCTCTGATTGGCCCAACTGAGTTCAAGGACCGACCCCTGTTGCAATCAACCAATCCACAATGGATAAAGGGTGTGGGTGTCCCTTGTCTCAAAGATGCTGGAGATGTATCACCTAGGGTGAAGGTGGTACTTACAATGGTTGTAGATAGGGTGTCATTATGAATTTGAGATGCCCCAGATGTGTCCTAATGCTATTAACTAT